TTATCTTTATCTTTATTATTTGTTTTATTCTTATTTTATATTTTTAATTTAACCTTTTTTAATATTAATTTCACATTTTTAGACTATTCTAAATTTATCAAAGGTAAGTAATGCAGATCGAACTTCTAAAATTTAATTTAATTTTTAATTTTTAATTTTTAATTTTTAATTTTTAATTTTTGTAATTAAGACAATTGGGAAATCAAATTGGTTCCGATATGGCAGTACGAGGGTGCTAATCATTCCTTGACTGTAATCGACTCCCGAATCCGACATATTTCTGGTATTTGCAGATCAGATAACGGTAAGTTATGGTATCCGATCGACCAAATTAAAACGATCGGTGGCGACTCCATCGCACCAAATTAAGTTGGAACCCAATTCCAATACCACCCGAATGACGTTTAGGACAATATTTTACATAATAAATCTTGTAAATTATACAATTATTTTGATTGTAATCTAAAATATTATCGTAAAAAAGTTTATATGATATTTTCGATTATAACATAAATTCTAATTGATTGTATAAATTTTTAAAGTAACATGTAACACTTTAAATTAAAGGAATAAGGGAGTAAATTGTACGGTTTACACTCAAGCAGGGCGTGTGGAGATTCACTTCGTCAATCTGAAGATGAGTCGATCGTGTCCAATAAAGAGTATGAGCAAGCCGATCCAACCAGCGTAGTAATTGCTACAGTAATGATCAGTAAAGATTCTTGATGACCAGGTGTTAAAGCTATGAGACATACTAGTTATGCCAATGCCAATGCCAATGCCATTGCAGTAATGGCAACCCACATGATGACCATTAAAACCCACATAAAAAACCGTCGTCGCATTCGTAATCCACTTATAAGCAACATCATGATACTGAGAGACGCCAGAAATTAATAATAGAAATTAGTATATAAAAAATTAATAATAGAAATTAGTATATAAGAAATTAATAAAAAGACTTGATATAAAAAATGTCCAAATTATACCTTTTTCTCATTTAGGTGCTAATTTGGATGATCTGCAGGTCAAAAATTTGTATGCGAGAAATTAGAAAAGGTCAACAGTTAACACAATTTATGTTATTGTATATAACAAATTAATCAAAGGCTTAATACAAATAAAGTGTTCAAATTATACATTTTTTTCATATTTAGAAGTCTAAATTTTTCCGATCAATTTTGTGACCATCAATATTGTTACAACTAAGTATTTTTTTACTAGCCAAATGTTCAATACTATTAGCAATAACTCCGGCATTATTATATCAGTGAATAAATTTATCACAATTACTTGTATTTTTTTAGACTACATTTTTTTTGCATTATAATTAGCAAGGACGACCCTCCCAACTCAATTTGCTTAAGGGGTATAGAGTCTACTCTCGCTAGACCATCTGGTTGTTGGTTTAACATGTTACTTTTTGTTAAATTAATAGCATATACAATACATAACTTTTAAGATGATCGATCCTGAGACCTTCAGGGAAAGATCCCATTTCATTATTTAATTGTAAGTTTATGCATTCTATTGATCAGTGTTGGATCCAAAATATTTTTAAGGTGAATATATATATATATTAATAATATAATTTTTATACAAGGTATATACAAATACAATCTTAAAGTAGATACATTTAATAAAATAAATAATTAATAAAAATATTTGAATTTCATGATTAACACTTGTCCATCTTAAACAAAGTGTGCAACTCCGGTGCTAATGATTTTAAGAGAGATAACTAGTTAATGAAATTAACATATTTTAATATTATAGTTCTTTTTAAAATTTTGTTTTACTTTCATAATTAGAATTCATCGTAATTTTTATTCATTAATTATAAACTTTCTAAGAAACTTCAATAAATTGACTATACATACAACTGAGAATGTTTTTTTCATTTTTATTTATATAGTTTTTAAATATTAAAATAATATACATATTTTAAGAAATAACTAAATTTAATAATTTATTATAAATATTTTTAAGAGGTTAAATTTAACAATTTAATATATATTATTTTTTAATATTTTTTGGGTGGTCTCAATGGCTTTCAGCCATTGTCTAGAGTAGAGATATCCCATCACCAATATATTAAAAACTCATATTGAAAATTCATCAAAATAGTGATTTTTGTATATTAATTATAAACTTCTAAAGAAACTTCAATAAACATGCGTTGTATTGGAGAACAGTTGGATAAATATTTGAAACTCGTGGGTTATAGCAATGAGGAGACGTATTGGAATTTTAAAATGGATGGGAGTACTTGACTTAAACTTAGTGGACTTCGACTTTGCTCCAGTTGATAAGTAAAAGTTAAAATATTACTGAAGACCAAGACTTTCTCACTGTATTATAAATATGGGAATTTAAAATAGAGAAAATAATCTCATTGATCAAAAATGTCTTATAATATATAATTTTAACTAATTTTTTTTGAATTTGCCAAAATGACCAAGACTTTCTCACTGGAGTTTATCTGTATTATAAATATGGAAACAAGTGTTGGTAATGCTCAATCCCACATAGTATTGAAAACACTATTGGGAATAGTATTTAAGGCTTGGCTTTCCCACTTCCTTGTTGAGTGATAGAAAACAAGGGGGACTCTTGCGCGCCGCCGCTGCCGCCGCCTCCGTCCGTCCCGTCCTGTGTCATGTCGTGGTCGTGGTAATACGTGTCTTCGACACGTCCGCGCGAACTTCGATTTACATATTCGCATTGCGATAGTCAAAGTTCGCGTTGCGAATATGTAAACTGATTTTCGATACCGAAGATCGCGTTGCGAATTATCGATCGCATTGCGATTTACTTGATCATTTTGGCAAATCCAAAAAAAATTGGTTACAATCGTATATTATAAGGCATTTTTTGTCAATGAGATTATTTTCTCTTTAAAATAACATCTATTAATATTATGTTAAAAGAAAATTGTAATAGACTGTAAGTGAAATTTATTTCAAAATATTATTCTTTAAAGTAATTTGGATAAGATTTTCTTTTATCAAAAATAAAAAAAATATTATATTTATAGACACTCATTTTTATTCGGATTTCTTTTTATATTATGTAGTATATATTATATAATATGGTATATTATATAGTATATATGATATAGTATATTATATATTATAATTATATTTTATATTATATAGTATATATTATATATTTATATTATATAGTATATATATTATGTTATGTATATTATATAGTAAGTATTATATATATGTGATAGTATTATGTTATTTACATTATAATTGGGTTTAAAAACAGAGTCCAACTGAACCATGCCAGCCTGACTCAGCAAAGCAAGCCCGGTTAGGAGGAGAGGGTATGACCCATCCCAAGTCAACTAGGGTTCCAAACTCTAGTGGCGCTGCACGAGGGGCTCGAATGGTGTGTGAGGACCACGCGCCGGCATCACACGCTAGAACTCGCCAAACCGATAATCTCGGGGCAATTTTTTGGTGACCAAATCAGAATATTTCCCCCGATTTTCTCAGGAATATGACAATGAGTTCAACGGGAATACGAACACACAAGTAAAATCCCAGTAAAATCGGGATTTTGGTGACCTGATTCACCCTTTTTGTGTGCTATAAAAGCCTCCGGTGAGGCACTATGAAAAACACAAGGAAAATCGAGCATCAAGCAACCAAGAAACAAAACAATACACAACCAATATACGAAAACCCAAGCCAAAGTAAAAAGCAACAACATTCGAAATCAAAAACAGAAAAATCAAAGCTTAAAGCTTTGTTTCCTTGAAGGTCGTCGGGACGCGTAGAAGCCTTGTCTGGAAAGGAAAGCCACCGGAAGTTGAAGAGACATTGTTGGACTATGGTAAAACCAAAACTCTAACTGTAGAACTACGCTAGAAGGGTCCTTTTTAGGACGAATAGGCTCCGATTTTGCATATATCGAGTCGAGGAGAGTGTTTTAGGCTAGTTTGGATTTTTTTTGCCACCGGAGGTGGTGGCCGGGCGGCAGATGGGTGGCCGACACTTGGCCGGTTGGTGGTAAGTTGAGAGAATTTTAAGAAAAGGGAGATGAGAGATTTGAGTGAAATGGTTAAAATGAATAGAATTTGTGATTTTTGGGCTATTTATAGGGAAGGCCTTTATGTAATTACCAAATAGTTAAATTATTTTCGCAGACCCTACAGTTTTGACGGGTAATTCATTTTGGTCACCTTTTGTAATTTTGCCTTGGAGTTTTGAATTTATTCAATTTAATCCATGTTTATATTTTTCATATTTTGTAAATCGGCCCCTAACCTTTTTATTTTCTTTCTTGCAGCTCACTTTAGAATCAATTTGACTCATAAATTTCAATTTATTTCAGTTTAATCCTCTTTAATATTTATATTTTTTAATTTAACATTTTCTTTATTTCATTTTTTATCTTTATTTATTATTTATTTCATTCTTATTTTATATTTTTAATTTATCCTTTTTTAACATTAATTTCATATTTTTTTAGGCTATTCTAAATTTGTCAAAGGTAAGTAATTTGGATCGAACTTCTAAATTTTAATTTAACTTTTAATTTTCGTAATTAAGACAATCGAGAAATCAAATTGGTACCGAAAGGGCAGTACGGGGGTGCTAATCATTCTCTGACTGTAATTGACTCTCAAATCCGACATACTTCTGGTAAGTTGTAGATTAGATAACGATAAATTATGGTATCCGATCGACCAAATTAAAGCGATCGGTAGCGACTCCATCACACCAAATTAAGTCGGAACCCGATTCCGGGGGCGGTTACGACAATATTTTACATAATAAATCTTGTAAATTACATAATTATTCTGATTGTAATCTAAAATATTATCGTAAAAAAAGTTTATATGATATTTTCGATTATAACATAAATTCTAATTGATTGAATAAATTTTTAAAGTAACATGTAACACTTCAAATTAAAGGAATAGAAAAGGAATGAGGGAGTAAATTGTACGGTTTACACTCAAGCAGGGCGTGTGGAGATTCACTTCAACAATCTGAAGATGAGTCGATCGTGTCCAATAAGAGTATGAGCAAGCCGATCCAAACCAGCGTAGTAATTGGTACAGTAATGATCAGTAAAGATTCTTGATGATCAGGTGTTAAAGCTATGAGACATACTAGATATGCCTATGCCAATGCCAATGCCAATGCCAATGCCATTGCAGTAATGGCAGCCCACATGATGACCATTAAAACCCACATAAAAAACCGTCGTCGCATTCGTAATCCACTTAAAAGCAGCATGATGATACTGAGAGACGCCAGAAATTAATAATAGAAATTAGTATATAAGAAATTAATAAAAAGACTTAATATAAAAAATGTCCAAATTATACCTTTTTCTCATTTAGGTGCTAATTTGGATGATCTGCCGGTCAAAAATTTGTATGCGAGAAATTAGTAAAAGTCAACAGTTAACACAATTTATGTTATCGTATATAACAAAGTAATAAAAGGCTTAATACAAATAAAGTGTTCAAATTATACATTTTTTTAATATTTAGGAGTCTAAATTTTTTCCGATCAATTTAAGTGTCCAACTTTTTTCACGTTATACTTTTAAGTGTTTCGACCGTAATGGACGGTAAATATTATAGGTTGAGAATAGCACTATCGAATTTTATGTTAAATTGCTAATTTGGATGATCGGACGTTTAAAAATTTGTATGTAAGAAATTAGTAACAGTTAACACAATTTATGTTATTGTATATAAGAAATTAATAAAAGGTTTAATACAAACAAATGTTTAAATTATACTTTTTTTGCATATTTAGGTGTCTAAATTTTTTTCCGGTCAATTCAAGTACTTAACATTTCCAACATTACAGTTTTGGGTATCTTAGCTGTAACGAGCGTTAAATTATATCTTTAAGTGACATGTGTGGTGTTTATGTAATTTTAAAAATTTTGTTGTAAAAATTTAAAAAAATTATATTAAAAACCCATAATTTCTCTAAAATTACAAAAATAAAATCAAATCCCTAACCCTAGCCCTACCCCTATCATCGCTATTACCGGCCATAACTATCACCATCACCACCCTTAGCATCTCCTTTGTTGGTCGTCATCTTCTTTGTTGTCACATGCGCCGTCAGGTTGTCTGGGTATCGTGATTTTGTCGTTTGGGATTTAGATTTGTCGTTTGGGATTTAGCTTTGTCGTTTGGGATTTAGCTTTGTCGTTTTATTCATAGATTGTTTGTCAGGTTTATGGGTTTCGAGTTGTCGTGTTTAGCTGTTTGTCAAGTGGAGATTCGGTCGATGGCAACAACAGCAAACAGAGACAACAAACGTGGATATAGAGACTGGAATTAAGATTTGGTTTTGGGGTTTTTTAAGAGTCAAGAAACATTTGGGTTTTTCTATAAAAATATATAATTTTAAGTTTTATAAAAAATATAAATTTTTAAAATTTTATAAAGACGACACGCGCCATTTAATGATCGTGACGATATAGTCACCTAGAAGTGTAACGTTGAAAACGTTAGACACATGGATTGAACGAAAAATAGTTTAGGCACCTAAATGAAAAAATGTATATTTTAACACTTATTTTTACATTAAGCCATATTAAAAATTAACTTTTAAACAATTTACATGTAATATATTAGCAACAAGATTGACATTTGGCAAAGGGAGATATCTTCTCTTTTGATCTGTTAAAAAAGAAGCATTATTTAGAAAGTGTATATGAATTGAAAACGTTTTTTATTAAGCTAAGGTGATTACAAGTAGTATTTGTTCTAAATATATTCTCAATCATTTGACAATGAACGCTCAATCACTCTGCTACAGTCACTGGTGCTTGAACCCGTTACCTCTAAAAACAAAAACGATTGTAACACCCTAATCCTATACGACTCGAAAGTCGACTAATTAAGATATTACATTGAACCATCGAAATGGCTAACCCAAAAATCTTTCTTTTAAAACATGTGTAAAACCACATTTAAATTCATCAATCCAGTTATAAAACAAAAGCATATTGTTTAAGTTTACAACTATGAGGAGCTCCAAAAATATAATTCAAAATAATACAATCCGAGTATTTAAAAATAGAGTTACAACTCAATTACAAGAAGGTCTATGATGGGTACATGCCCTCGAAACGACTAAAGACGTACTATGATATGCTCTAGTTTTCTGGAAAGCTAATTGCGTGATAAGCTCCTTGAACGCTCCTCCTAAGGACTTGTGCATAGAAACATATTCAGAACGCTGAGCTCACTAGTCCAGTGCCACACTAACAACTAAATCATAATATAGGTAATCATCATGGTTAAACTAGCAAGTATGGAAGTAAGTAAGCATGCACTTGTGTTATGCTCGACAATACAAGGAATCATGGTATGGTTGGAGGGTTCGTTGCATCTTGGGACTCATACCCCTCTAGCCTACTTGGGGTAGGTTTCGAATTTTCTTCATCGGAAGCTACACCAAACTAACCCACTCCTTGTGAGTATTCAGGGCCTTACGCTTGGTTAGCAAGAAAAGTGCCTTGCGCACTAAATAAAGCATATTCAAATATTATATTCTAACCAGATGATTGTCATATGCAAGAGTAACTTGGGTATCCTTGGTGTTTCCCGAGTATCACACAAAGGCTAATTTTATGACATGTTAACTCATAAGAGTTTCTTGTATTTTTGATGTAGTTATTAGTTGTTCTTACTTATAGTTTTATTGATGAAATATTAACAATCCTTGACCCTGTCCCCATTATCCATTCCAAGCTAGGCTCGTGCCTAAATCTGCTCAGGAATATCGATACTCGCAAATGTAGTATCGATACTGACGCTTCAGTATCGATACCAACCCTTGCTATCGATACCAAAATAGTATATTGGAATTTGAGATGACTAGACGATATCGATACTCGTAGGGGAGTGATATACTAGATTTTGCTTCGATGTTTTGTGAATTTAATTGGGTATCGATACCCCTACTTCGGATATCAATACTCCTTACTCAATATTGATACTCTCATGAGTACCAATACAAAAATTGATTATTGGAATTTGAAATTCATTTAGGGTATTGATGTCATCCCTCGAGTATCGATACCATCCTAACAATATTGATATCTCTTGAAGAACGGTATTGATACTATTCTTCTAGTATCAATATTTGATCCCAGAATTGCTCCACTTGAGCATGAAATCACCCTTAACTCTACTCATTTGTCCCCCTTTAGGCCCTTAACTTTTATTAGAGTTTTATGTAAGTTTATATGAGTCAAAAAGAGTCAATTTTCATGTTGAATAGCATCAAAGAGTAAAATCTACCATGCAAGCTTTCACATGCTTCATAATCTCCAACAAGCTAGCTGATCATCTCTAATGATTCTCAAGTGGTATAGAGGAGTTTTAAATGTGTTACTTGAATTTCCTAGTTGTTGGAAAAGTTCCCAACTCAACTAAGGACCAACTTCTCTTTGCCTTTGGTCTTGGAGCACTCCCCGACTTCTTTCATTAGTCAAGACAAGATGAATGAGTTACCTAGAAGCTTGGATTGAAGTCAAAAGCACTTCCTACAACTTAAACCTACTAAAAACGAGCTAGAACCACTTGGATTCTAAACCCCCACTAAAATCTATTTTTTGGTAACCTTAGCCAAACCTGAGATTGATGGCTTGAAAGGAAGCTTAGGATGGGATGATTTCAACTCATACCTCTCGATTTTAGAAATGGGCTTGCAAGACTACCAACTTTTAAACTTTGCTAAGCTTCTTGATGGAGAAGAATAAGATAAGAATAAGGGGAGAAGACACACTTTATGAAGAAAAAGAGATGAAACAGAAACATACGTGATATCACCAACAATTAAGGGGATTTAGCTTTAGTTTAAAAAATTGGGATATTTGCTACTTTAGTCTTTCCACTTTCATGCTAAGATTAAATATGCCCTTTTTCCTCAATTATTGGGCTCAACACAAGCCCAAATCAATTAATTCTTAGGCTTCCTTACAACCAATGGGTTTATCCGAAACCTCTCTCAGTTTAGCCCGAAACTCCTAATCCGATTCGGGACGTTACAACGGTTTCTTTAATCACTGATGTAAATTTGCAACTTAAATTACATAAACCAATTATAGAGTGTGATATAACATATTTCATTTCTATATATTGGATGAAGATTAAAATTTTAAAAATACAAAAAATAAAAATAATTATATTAAGATATATGAATTAAATACATTACTTCATTACAGAACATGTACTAATAAAATATTTTGGAATACAAATCCTCTGCCCCTAAACTCTATCCCCATTTGTGCCCCTTCAAACAAATTGATCCACGTGTTCCCTTCTTTTTTATTTCTCATGTCATTTATTTTAAACATTAAATTTATTTTGAAAATTTTAAATTAAAAGTAAAATGTCGAATATAAATTACTAGGAAATGGTAGTAAAAATAATAAAATTATATTTTTTATTCATAGAATAGAAAAATAAAAATATTTTTGATTTTTATAGTTTAAAAATTTTAATTAATATTTTAATTTATACTTGACGTTTTTAAATTATAATTTATATTTTAAATTAATTTTTTAATCATAAGTGAATATAAGATAATATTGTTCGAAAAACTCTCAACTATTTGATATTGAACGTTCATACACTCATGCAGACGTGCTCAAACATCAGGGGATAATAATTCCATAACCACTGAGGTTGGCTCATGCAGATTTTAAAATTAACATAAAATAAATATAAAAATAATGTAAATAATATTATTTAAATAATTAAATTTATAAATTATTGTCAATTCAAATATAATAATAAAATTTCAAAATTTAATTAAAAATTATATAAAATTAAAAATAAATATATTAATTAATTGACACAATTTTAATGAGTTAAATATATAATATAAATGAAATATAAATTTTTATAGACTCTTTAACATATTTAAGTTGAATTACACATTTACTTAAATTATAATTGTATCAATTAATTAATATTTTTTTAATTTTATATATTTTTAATCGAGGCTTGAAATTATTTTTAAATGAAAAAATAATTTATATATTTAATTATTTAAATAATATTATTTGCATCAATTTTATGTTAATTTATATGTTTAAAGATTGACTATTAATTTAAAGTATAATTTAAGAACGCCAAGTATGAACCAAAATATTAATTAAAAATGTTAGTGTTGATGGTGTTTATACTCTTTGTCAATTATATTTATTTATTTATAATTTTTTTAAGTTGTTTGGTTGAGTTTTTAACCCTCTATTTGTACAATCCTATTTCATTATTTAATGGTTAGCTTGTGCATTCTAATGATCGATACTGGGTCCAAAATATTTATTTATGATAAACATATATATTAATAACATAATTTTTATACGAGATAGTACAAATAAAATTTTAAAATTAACACTCTTAATAAAATAAATAATTAAAAAAGAGTTAAATTTTATGATAGATACTTATCTACCCTAAATAAAACTTGTAAGGTGTAAACCCGGTGTTAATGGTTTTAAGAGAGGAAATGTTTATTTATTAATTATAAACTTTCTAAGAAGCTTCAATAAATTGACTATACATACAACATTAGAATTTAATGAAGTTCGTATTCATTTACGAAACTCTTATAAGGTGAGACGAGTTGACTTTTGTAAGAAGCCGATAACTGAGAACGTTTTTACTTCAGTTTTAGTAACGAATACACACGATCTTCATCTCTCGGACCAACCCTTGTGGGATAGTCTTATGACTAGTCGTGTTGATTTGTTTGACCAGAGGCGGCTATTAGGGCCTTAGGAGAGCACCCTGAATCCCTGATTGCTCATAGATGCCTCTAATTTTTAATCCTATCTTTTATATTTATAATTATTTTTTAACTTTTAAATTTCAATTTTTCTTTTTCTAACTGACCCCTTAACTATTTTTAAAATTTTCAAGTGAGACCTTAATTTTTTTACTTTTTTATATTTATAATTGAGGTCTTAAATCTTTTTCAATCTCACTTTGTACTTTTATAATTAATGCCTCTAATTTTTTAACCTCACTTTCTACCTTTATAATTGAGGCCATTAATGTTTTTCAATATCATTTTATTTTTATAATTAGACCTCTAATTTAATCATTTTTTAAGATTTATTAATGTAATATTAAATTAATTATTTAAGGTAATAGAATATACTTTCATTCTATAAAAATCTATTTTTAATTTTATTTAGGTCTCGAAAATATCCGAGACAACTCTATTTATCTCATAAATAAAAGGAATCCAAATCCTCTACCCGAGCTTATACCCCTAGGTGCCCCTTTAGAAAAAAACAAGCCGGATCTTCTATTCCACACATTCTAAGAACAAAACTTCAAAATCCACCATTAAAGATAACAACATAAGTATTTTTTTTATTTATTATGAAGTAATACATCTAAACCGTAAGACATGGAATAATTTATCCTACTAACTGTAATACATTAAGCTTATACATAACTACAGCAGAAGCCAAGCCAGCTGAAAAAGTTCGTCATTTTTGCTACCGCAGTTTGTGGAATGATTGTATGTGGATGGCTTTAAACGCTGCCCAGACGTGTGAAGATGGCATATTTCAATCTGATCACTGATTTTTGAAGAATCTTAACCAATCTCATTATCATTCGAATTGCGTGTCCAAGAAAAAGTAGGAGCATCAAAAGGAGCCAAGCCAACAGAGATATACTTACAGTACTATATATCGAAGTCTCTGTATGAGGAGGTGTTAAAGCGTCGACAGATTGTAGGTATGCGACGGCCATTGCAGTAACGGCAGCCCACATGGTGATCATTAAAACCCACATAAAAAATTCATACTTCAATGGTAATCCACTTATAAGCAGCAAGATGATGCTTAGTGATGCCAGGAAACCAAATGTATTAAATTTGACGAATTTGTCATATAGGCTTGGACGATTATATGCCAATATGGAGTATCCTGCATTATGAGACGTTACGTCTGAAACTTCACTCTTTCCATTTTCTTGCCAAACACCACTAGGAGGATTGATTCCCGCTTGGAATGCCATGGTCGCTAGCAAGATAGCCACTACCATCAGGGTCTTATATTGTTTTTCCACCCAAGCTTTTTTAACAGACTTCTTCCCATTTTCCCTTCTCTTTGGTTTCGATATCCCATTTGATTGATCCTGCGTGGACAATAAGATCTTCGTTCTTGTTGCTCTGAGTTCACGATTTGACAAAGGCTTGTATTTCGCACGAGTAGCTCCCATCCTTTGAAGTGACTCCACAACCTCCTTCATATCTCTTTGGTTTTGTGATAAAAGATCAAGTGCTGTGAAACCATCTTCATTCTCACAATTCACGTCTACTGTTGTGTTAGAAATTAGAAAGTTTATGGTCTGCACACAAGTTGTTTGCATTACTAATTATTTGGAGATTCATTTAAAACACTTCAAGGATAAAAAACAATTAAAAAGATACACTGCACGAGGATCAGTGCACACCTGTGTTTGTTTAGCAGCTATTGCCAGATGCAAGATGGTGTTACCGTCGTCATTCTTAGAATTCAAGAACTCGTGATCTGAAACTCTTTCCACCAACAATCGCAATGCGTCCAACTGGTTGCACCTCACGCATGCATGTAAAACTGTCTCACCTTGCTCCATTAGCACTCGAGCTGCCCAAGGTCTGGCATCAACCAGCTCTCTCAACAAACCAAGGTGACCCTTCATGGCTGCAATATGAATAGGGTTCCTCCCATCAACATCACAAACAAGACACATATCAGGGTCAACCTGCAGTAAGCTTTTCGCAACTTGCAGGTGCCCTTTTGCTGCGGCTAAGTGAAGCGGCGATGACTTGCGGGAATCGACTTCTTTGGCTAGCTCAGGCTTACGAGTAAGAATTTCATCGACGAATTCGAGATGGCCGAGCATGGAAGCAACGTGTAGAGGGGTTTCAGGGTAACGTCCAGTGATGAATCTGTCAAGAAGAAGTGCATCCTCTTGAAGCAAATTCAACAACGAACTCTTGCTGCCTTCCAAACATGCGTTATAAAGCCTCTTCTCCATTTTTTACTTTGAAATTCACAAAAACGAAACGGTATGATTCCTAAATACTGTAGTGTCCATATATATAGATAGAGGTTCAGTTGTAATAATTAGTGTAAAAGAAAACTAAAATGTAATTTAGGTTTATGTGTATGGAAGTTTATAAGCCGTCAAATCACGTTAATTCTATTTGTTGGTGCACTAATTTATATTAGATTAATATTTTATCTGTAAATTAAAAGTTGGTATATATTATTAAAAATGAAAGTAAATAATTTTTTACTAATATAATATTATCGATATAGAATTACATCTTATCAATATATTAAATTTAAATATTATTTATATATTATATTAAAATATTATTTTAATATTTTAATATAATATATGTTAGAAAAATATATGTTAGAAAAGAATGTAATTCCGAACATTAATAGGAAAAATAAAAGTCAATTTAGGAAATTAATTTTTAGGGTAAAGTATACAAATGGTCATCCGACTATAGGATGTCGTTTTGTTGAGTATCTCAACTATTAAAAATTATAAAATTGTCTCCCAACTATAATGCGTTGTTTTGTTGAGTTTCTCGGCTATTAAAAGTTACAAAATAGTTATTTGACTATTCATACGTTCTAAATTCATCATTTTATATTAAAAAATTGATGGTTGTGTGAGCTGGACGTTAACCTATTGATTATTATATGGTAAGCTTATATTTTAATGATGTATATTAGCATTAACATTGCTTCCAAACATGGCTCAACGACATAATATAAACGGAGAGTCGATCCACAAAATACATCTTTAACGATTATAATATCAAATTTTATCATATCCCAATTAACATGTTAACATTCATCTTAGACGACCGTCAATTTTTTAACATAAAAATATGAGTTTCAAACACATTAATAGTTGGGAGACCATTTTGTAACTTTTAATAGTCGGATGACTCAACAAATTAATGTCATATAGACAGATGACCATTTTATAACTTTTAGTACTAGTTGAGGACTCAATAAAATAATATTTTATAGTAAGAGGACCGTTTTAAATTTTAATTCCACAAATGAAATGAGATGAATTTAGTCCTCGCATCTCTAGATTTTTTTCTTTTAATTTTTTTATTGACTAAGAGGATTGTATCGTCAACCTTTAGTGAAGCTACCATCACCCATACTTTATCACATTTCATGTTATTTTCTCTTTTTTAATCTATTTAGTGTTTTTTATATTTAACTTTTTATGTTATTTTATTTTAATAAATATTTTTAATTTCTAATGAAAATTATGATTTTTTTCTCTTATACCACATTTTCTTTTTTTTCATTTCAGGGTCTGATTTGATGCTCATCTTTTAATAGACATTCATTACATCATTTTATTGATTTATCATTGTTTTAAACTCACATTAATTATATTTTATGGATATGAGCTCGCAATCACTAAAGGTATATCCTGATTGAGTGATTAAGTTATGGTAAAAGCAGTTTATCAATATGTCATTATTTTAATATATATTAATAATGTTTATCTTCTATCATCAATATTTTTTTTCTTTATGTCTATCATTTATTTTAATTGTTTGATTAATTTTTAACTCTATTGTAGGATCCTATTTTACTCTTTCGTAATTAGTTTGTGCGCTCTTCAAAAAATGAATTGTTAATGAAATTAGTCTCTAGTTTTATAAATTTTAGTTATATTTTATCTTTATTTTATAAAATTATCTATTATTATTAATTTTAAAAAAAAACTTTAAAAATGGTCATGTATGATATATTTCAACTAATATTTAAAGGTAAAAAATAAACAAAACATTAAAATAACTTTTTATTCTATTTCAGCAATATTTAGTAGATTAAAGGTTTAAAGCTTTACATTTAAATATACAAGTGATATTCTAGGAATCAGTCAAGAAGAGTTTTTTATTTGATTTATTTCGACTTAAAGCCGTTAAAAAGTCTGTAATTTTATTAAGGTCACGTTTAATATGATGAATCTTTACTTCCCAAACAGTGGTGGAAGATGATAAAATTTAGGATGACCAACTTAATTTAAAAAAAAAATAAGTGGTTTAAATTAAAAAAATTTAAAAATTTGAAGAGTTTAGTTTATATTTTTATAAATAAACTAGGGTCTAATTAAAATTTTTAAAATTTTGAAAGATTTAATAAGAATTTTTTAAAATTATGGAATGGGATTAAATTAATAACATTGAAAAAAATTTAAAGTTTAATATGAATTTCTAAAAGTTTTGGGGAATCAATTTTTTTTTTAATTTTAAGGGTCTACTTATACTATTTAAAATTTTGGGGGAGTCATGGCCCACTTGCCTTCTCACTACAAGAAAATGTACCTTTAGGGACAATGCAAATGGTCACTAAAAGCACTAATTTTAGACACTAAAATGCATAGTGATAAAATTTTCAAGTCATCACTATTACATTAGTGACAATCATTCTAACACTTGTCACAATTGTTCGTTTTTTGTGACCATCTATTCAACACAACTATCAATATAAATTGTGACGATTTTTTAAACTAAAAATATATTTTGTGACTATCAATATTGTCTAAGTATTTTTTACTGGCCAAATGTTCGATACTATTTTTAATAGGAATTGTAATAAATTTATTTGACACTGAAAGTATATTTTGTGACCACCAATATTGATTTATATTAGTGATGACTTAAATGAATTGTCACAATTACTTGTATTTTTGTGACTACATTTTTTGTGCATTATAATTAGCATGAACGACCCTCCCAACCCAATTTGCTTAAGGGGTCTAGTGTCTGCTCTCGCTAGATCATCTTGTTGTTGGTTTAACATGTTATGTTTTGCTAAATTAATAGCATATACAATACATAACTTTTAAGATGATTGAACCTGAGACCTTCACGGAAAGAGTGCAACGCCTAGCCACTATGCTGAGAAAGAAATATATGTTGTTGACAAAAAAATAATAATATTTATGTTAAATTGTTATTGAAATTAATTTTATTTATTTTAATATATATAATATTGATTATTATTGTAATAATTTTATTAAATTTTCTATGATTTCTCATATGAAATACGTTTGTGGAAGATAAATATAAAAAATAATTAGGTTTATTTTAAAATATAATCATATAAATATTAAGATTTAAATCTAAAGTAATACCAAACGTTCTTAAATTATATTTAAAAAATAAAAATATTTGACAATGTATTAACCCCTTGTAGTGAAAGTCCTAAATTAAAAAAGAAAGTACTAATAATTAACTGGTGTTTGCAAAATTCACATATATCTCCATAATGATCATAAATTAAACATAAAAATTAATCAATTATTTTAAAAAAAATAATCATAATTGAATATTAAATGACACTATCAAAGCTTATAGTATCATCGGTCATTTATTTCATTAATAAAATAAAAATCATAATAATATAATACAATATATTTAAAAGATTTAAGTAATTTTATTAGTCACTTATTATTCATATAGTCATTGTACAATTTGGATGGTTATTGAAATTTAAAATTTTAAAATGTATACAAACTAACATTAATCAAATTAGAGCATAAGACTAATAACAAAATTTTACCATTTGACAAACTAGTTTATCTTAACAACAATTTTAATTATTATTGATGTCAATATTTATCGCAACAAAAAGTAAAATTTTATGTGGCAGTCAACTCTATTGTCACAATAAATATCAAATAATAGTGATCACTTTATATATCATCACTATCATATCATTTCTCGCCAAGGAAAGAATTATGCCAATTTGCGTATTCTAGCAGTGTCAAATTTTTTGTTACGGTGAAATTTATATCATAATTATATAATTATAGTGAGAATTTAATTGTGAGAAAATTATAATCATAATAGTTATTACTATAATAGTGACGAAATAAAATTACATCACACTTATTTTTATGATAGTGTCGTACAAAATTTTTATCACCAAAAGTTTAATATTTATGACAAATTTACTAATAATCACTAGTAAAAAAATGTTATTGTCACAATTATGAATGATAATAGTGACCACTTAATATGTTATAACTATTACATCGTTTCTTGTTTAAAAAGGTGATGTCAATTCAAGAATTTTATTAGTGACTAAATACAAGTAGAACACAATTATTCACTTTAATAGTGATTAAGATTATTGTCGTCACAAATCACCAACTAACATTAATGACAAAAACAATTATCGTCACAAATCTCCAACTAAGATTAGTGACAAAAACAATTATTGTCACAAATCATCAACAAAGACTGGTGATAAAATATTTTCATTACAATTATGAATAGTAACAGTGACTAAATAATATATTGTCACTATTATAATTTTTTTTTGGAGAAAATAAGTTGGTGTCAATTCAACAATTCTATTAGTGACAAATTGATAATAACTTGTTTTGGTCACAATAAAACACTATTAGTGATGAATTACTTGTGATGAACTTCAAAGTTGTCAGAATTATTATCTAAAGAGTGACAAAATAAAAATAAGTCTCAATTACTCATTTCAAAAGTGACAAAAATAATTTTCATTATAAATAACATACCTTTTGTGACGAAAATCTTTAGTGTCATGGTTAAATGGTCACTAAAAAAACAACTTAATTCTTGTAGTGTGTTCCATCACTGCTCCTAATCTTGGTCCAACAGAAATTTTGTTGCATCCACAATGACATTATCTTCTAATGCAAACGGTTCATGACCAAAACTTCAATACAACCAATTTTTATTTCGATTTTCTTGAATCTCAAATTACATGCATGTTTTAAAGCATCGTGCACCACTTATAATTTAGAAAGGAAAGCATAATAAATTTTTAGACTTTGTGAACAGAAATATCTTATTGTTCCATTGTTATGAGCTTTGACCCAACCATAGGTAGGTCTTCTCCGTTGCAAAGCCTCACGTACAGTTGCATGTTGTAGCAAACCTTTGCCTTGATTAGTTGCAGCTCGAGCAAGGATAAACAACTCTCAATGGTGCTTTCATGTTC